TGGATCTATCTCTCTGTCTCTCTATGTTTCTGCGTTCGCCCCTCTGCCTTTTCACCATTTCGTATATATATGGAGATCCGTAACTCTGATTGGATTGAAACCTTCGCCCAGATCTTTTTCCAAAAAATAGCTTTCTTGCGGCCAAAGAAGGGCGTCAACCGCCTTACGAGTGGCCCAGGAGGGTGGGGCGCCTAGGGGGAGGGCGCGCCACCTGTCTCATGGCCACCTCGGGCACCGTTTCTTGTTGATTCTTTCTCCGGAAAATCCCAAATATTCCAAAATAATTCTCCGTCCGTTTTTATCCCATTTGGATTCCGTTTGATATGGGTTTCCTGCGAAACATAAAACATGCAATAGACAGGAACTGGCACTGGGCACTGGATCAATATGTTAGTGCCAAAAATAGTATAAAAAGTTGCCAAAAGTATATGAAAGTTGAATAATATTGGCATGGAACAATCAAAAATTATAGATGCAACGGAGACGTATCAGTCACCTAGAATTGATATTGTAAATTATCTTGTCCCTAGGTGGCATGTTAGCTCTACAAGTTGCAATTTGCTTTTATGTTTGGTGTGAAGATGATGATGTATATCTTTGAAATCTACCACCGGGAATTATTTCCAAATACTTGTCTCTTGACAATTGGTAACCATTTATGCGATAGAAATTGTTGATCAACTTTACATTGGCCTTTGGTTTTATTTGCCTTATCTCTTTCATAGGATTGTTTCAACTCCCCCGTTCTTCCGTGCCACTTGTGGATCATGTTTATTTCTTGATCTCGTCTAGTGCGTCTATGGATATAGTGAAAGCGGTGATCCCATCTTGTGCATTTTGCATTCAAATGCAAATTCTATAATTCACAACTCTTGGGGGAGCTATCCTATTTTCTTTAGAACACTCATCTTGTGATCCTTATCAAGTGTGTGTTGGTGGAAGACAAGTCGTTTCTTTTTGGTACTGTGTGCCACCATGAAACTTTGTAGAGGTCTTGGTTCGTTAGGAACCTTCCTCTCTTTTGTGAGTTTGGTATCTTCCTTTTGGTGTGTATCAATGGATATCTCATTCTTCGATGTATCTTTTATTTGGTATCCTTCAAGTCATAAGTTCTTCTTTGAGTATCTTATTTTCACTTGGTATCTTTTCTTTTGGGATCCTATCAACCATGTTTTTATTTGGTCCTTGAAGTCTAGAGCATGCATATTTACCTTATGTACATTCTTTGGCATGCTTTCTTTATTTGACCCAATATATAAGGGAAACTCCACCAAGTCTCAAATTGGCTAAGATGTGCATGAAATTCTATTTCATATCTATATGCACATATTTATGTGGAGTTTGTCATATGTATTGTTGGTTTCCTAACTCTTTGGTCCCAATGAGTTTGGCTACCAATTTTTACTACCACTCTAGAGTGGTACTACCGCGGCTACTATCGTGGCTACTTCCACTCCGAACCAAAATCTCGTATTAACTCCAGCGGTGGTAGGCACATATGTATTTTTTTTAGTACCGCTCGCAAGCAGTAGTACCGCTACCCTTAGCGGTAGTACTGTGAGGACGAGCGGTAGTACTGCTCCGGCGGTTCTACTGGCCTTTTACCTCCTCGCTGTTGTTTTTCAAAGGGCTTCCACCGCCCTGGCGGTAGTACCGCTCCCATGAGCAGTAGTACCGCTCTGTGCGGGCATTGAGCATAATGGTTGGATTTTTCCCCACCTACAAAAAGGGGGTCTTCTTACCCAATGAACCTTATCCTTTGGGCTCGTGTTCTTCCCCCATTGTTGACCTTCTTCGAGCTTGCTATCTCTCAATCCCTCCATGGATTCTTGCTTGTTTTTTTTGGGGGGGGGGGAGGAAAGAGAGAGGAGATCTAGATCCACATTTCCACCAATCACTTTCTCCTCTATGTGAGGGGAACCCCTTGGATTAAGATCTTGGAGTTCTTGGTGTTCTCCTTCTTGTCCTTCCTCTCACTTTCCTCCCTAGCATTAGTGCTTTGGTGGGATTTGGGAGAGAAGGACTTGGGCACTCCGTGTGCCCTTGCCATTGCATTTGGTTCGATTTGAGTTCTCCACGGTGATATGTGGAAGTTACAAGTTGAGAAGCTTATTACTCTTGGGTGCTTGGTACCCTTGAGCTTGTTCCTCTTGGGGTGCTTCGGCGCCCTAGATGGTTGGTGGTGTTCGGAGCTCAATCATTGTGGTGTAAAGCTCCGGACAAGCGTCGGGGTGTCCAATTAGGTTGTGGATATCACCCCGAGCACTTTGACGGGTTCCGATGACCGCCCCCAAGGGTTGCCAAAGTGTATGGGTTCAGTGATGGCCCCCAAGGGTTGCCATTTGTATGGGTTCGGTGACCGCCCTCAAGGGTCCCTTAGTGGAATCACGACATCTTGCATTGTGCGAGGGCGTGACGAGATTATGGTGGCCCTAGTGGCTTCTTGGGGAGCATTGTGCCTCCACATCGCTCCAAACGGAGATTAGCATCCACAAGGGTGTGAACTTTGGGATACATCGTCGTCTACGCATGCCTCGGTTATCTCTTACCCGTGCCCTTTACTTATGCACTTTACTTTGTGATAGCCATATTGTTTCTTGTCATATATCTTGCTATCACTTAGTTGTTTAACTTGCTTAGCATAAGTTGTTGGTGCGTATAGGTGAGCCTAGTTGTTGTAGGTTTTGTGCTTGACAAATTAACCGCTAGGTTTATTCCATATTTGTTCAAGCCTAAACCGTAATTATTTTGAAGCGCCTACTCACCCCCCCCCCCTCTAGGCGACATCCTCGATCTTTCAC